TAATTGAACTGTGCATCCAGCTCTGCTACTTTGCCCTTAATTTTGAAAGTCACTTTAAAATTTCACTTTACTAAATACCTTAGTAAATAACTCTGCATGTCCCTTTTCTCTGGCCATTTATTTTTTTTCCTTTGACAATTTGTATTGTTTTTCGGCATACAGAAGAGAAGAGGTATAAAGAACAATGGCAATCATAGAAGTTGCATTAGTCATAACTTAACATTGTTTATAACTTAACATTGTTCATAAGGCAACAGTGTCAACATGTCCTCCATTTATCTTAGTACATCATGTCAGCATTCATCTATTGTTTACAGCTGCAGTGTTCCCGATATATAAATAAAATTACATTATTCATTGATACATTGTATGGTGCCTCGTGTTTAGGCCACATGTCCCGTGGTCTATGAACCTACTGCTTTATGATACCTTTTGAGGCACAAAATCCGTTTTGTGATGTATTGCTGGTTGGTGTGCTTGTACCATATTTTAGATTGTTTGCAAGGGCATGGTGAGGGGGAGGAGTTTTAGGGTATACCTGGGTTATTTCTTTGAGTTTGTTGCATAGTTGAGTCCCAGTTTTCCCATGCTGCCTTCTAATATTTGGCTGGTGGTTGTGTGCTCCTTGCCATTATTTTGAATCTTTTGTTGTTCTTCACTGCTGCCTTGCAGTGGTTTATCATGGGGGGAGGGTGTTTTTTTCCAGTGTCCACTAATGACCAGTAATGCTGCAATTATTATGTGGTAGAGGAGGTATTTTTGTCTTTTTTGTATGTTTTTCGGTAATAACAGTACTAAGAATGTTTCGGGTTGGAGGGGAAGGTCGACCCCTGTACACTGTTTTGCCATGCATGCTACATCTTTTCAGAATTTGCTCAGTTGGGGGCATCGCCACCATATGTGGATCATGTAACCCTTGTCCCCTCCAGCATGTTTCTGGCATGTTTGGGAAGCTGCGTTTGAGATGTGTAGGGACAAGATACCACCGGTATAGAATTTTGCAGGATAGTTCTATGTGGGACATTGATTTCGTTAGTGGTCTGTGTGCATGTAGTATGTCTGTCCATTGTGCGTCGGTCAGAGTATGTGTAATGTCTTTTTCCCATGCTTTTTTTGAAGGTGAGGAAGTTATAGTGTGTTGTGGTATGCTCTGTGGCGTAAATAGTTAAAATCTGTTTCATGGGGGGTTTAAGTTTCATGCTTATTTTTTCCACTTCTTACAATGGGTGTCCCTTTGTGTTGTCTGTTGGGGTCATCATTTGTTTGTGTATCCAGGACTCTATTTGCATGTATGGGAAGTGGGCTATATCTTGCAAGTTGTGTTCCTTCTGGAGGTCTTCACATTTTATTAGATTGTTACCCTGGAGTATTTGTGATAACGATGTTATGCCGTTTCGGTACCATATTTTGTGATTAAAGTAAGGGATGAGGAACGGCAACATCTCTATTGGCATGGCTGGTGTAATCAAGCCCATCTTTTTACAATAGTTGTCACAAATTTCTAGTGTGAGAGCTGTGGTGGGTAGTGTGCGTCTGTATTTTGGCCATTGCGCCCAGGCTGGCCAAGCTAGTGTTATAGGGGTTCTTTCCATGTGTTTTTGCTCTATGTCTGCCCATGCTAGGGATTGGTTGTGTTGAAATGATATGAGGAGAGGGCCTATTTGGGCTGCCCTATAGTACCCCGCAAAGTCTCGCATTCCCATACCTCCATGTTTGAATAATTTAAACATAGTAGTTCTAGCTACTCTTGGTTTAGTGTTGTCCCATATGTACGAGTTGAGAATTTGAGCTGCAATTTGGCCTGACCAAGTAAGGAATTTTCTCCTCCATCCCTATGTGATTACGTTTTTAACATCACTGAGTAGTTTGTGGTAGTTTGCTTTGTATAGCGTGGAAGTAGTTGGCATGATGTTTATCCCTAAGTACTTGAGATGGTTTTGTCTCCAGTCCTATTTGAAGGCCTGTTTGAGAGTCAGCATTTCTTTGTGTGGGACATTTGTGCTAAGGGCTAGCATTTTTGTGATGTTAAGTTTGTAATATGAACGTTTGCTGTAGAGTGTGAGGATTTTATGGAAATTCAGGAGGGATATGTGGTTGTTCTAGAGTTAATAGGATGTCGTCTGCGAACAGGGACAATTTATACTCTTCTCTTAGTGTTATACCATTTGGATCGATTGGGTCAGGGGTTCTAGTGCTGAAATATAGAGTAAAGGGGAGAGCTTGCATCCCTGCTGGGACCAATTTGTGATCGTGAGTTGTTGGGATATGAAGCCTCCATTGATTACTTGGGCGGTAGAATTAGAGTAGGGTGTGGTTATAAGGGATATGAATTGTGTTAGGAATCTGTAGAACTGTGAGGAGGAAAGGCCAGTGTAGTCTATCAAAAGCTTTCTTAGCATCCAGCAAGAGTAAGATACTGTGTTGTGCATCAAGCATGGTTTCATGTTAAATGCATTGACTTTTTCACTGGAAAGGGTTGGATTTAGTGCTTCTCTATCAGATTGGCATCAATAGTGTTCTCTGCCAAACTTAACTGCCTTTTGGTGTGGATTAAGATATGGACTAAAATAAATGATCAAGAATGATTAAGGGGTATCACTGTGCGAATGTTGGGGGTATATTTGTGTGGAGTGTTAAGTGTCTGAATGCGGTGATGTTTTTTGTAGAGTGCCAATGTACATGCAGAAGTGTATCTGTATGAAAGGTTAGTGTGCATGGATCCAGATGGGTTTGTATTTAATTTCCAATGCACATCAACCCCTTACAGCTCCCTCCATCCACCTTTCCCTCAAAAATTGTTCCTCTTGTGCATTCCTCCTCTGTGGACCTCTCCCCATATCCTGCCCCCCACATGCTTGCTTCTCATTACCCCTTCCCTTACTTGTTCCACTCTACTCATACACCTGTCCTTTTCTCCCATTTGGTCCCTCTCATGCATCCCTCCACAACCACATATACCTTAACTCCTCATGCTCTGATTTTGAGGCTGTAGCAGTAACTGCAGGCAGCCTTACAAGAGATCATGCAGGTTGACATATGTTCTCCTGTAATTCAATCAGCTGCCTGGAAACCGTATAGGACCTGCCATAGCGTGTACAAGTGATAAGGATTCCCCTTCTCACCCAAGCACACCATTTACTCGTATTATGCCACCAACAATCAAGGTTGTTTGCAGACCCACAAATATATAAGAAGGTGTTAACCTAGACACGCTTGATGTATGGAACAGTCATTAAAGTTCATTGCAGCGTGGGTAGCTAGTGGTGTTTTAGTAGCTGTTAGGTCTGCCATGGAAGTTAAGATGCCTATGCATTTTATGGCACAGTAGCCCGCTCACATAACCACCCTTCTTACAAGAGGACCAACACATACCCATATAGAGACTGAAATCAGTCCCAGACATGTTCAGAGAGACACAGATACACAATACACCCTCACAGAAACAAGTGGTTGCACATTCAGGAATATCTACATCAAGACAGATACATTCAGGCAAAGGTCTATATGCAGACATGTAGTTAGGAGCCAGAAATTTTAGTCCTTATGCTACTAGCCAGGTTTAGGGCCACTTAAAAGGCATATATTTATTCTTCACATTGAGCAGTGTCCTGCCTTGCTGTGGAAACTACCTTTTGCCTTAAAGAGGGACACAAGGGACCCAGATCACTTTAGCTCATTGAAACATTCTGGGTCCCTCTTAGTACTGCAAGTGTAGAACAATGCAGTTTTAGAAAAGAAAAACGCAGTGTTTACAATGCAATACTAAGACTGTCTTTAACTGCAGTCTACCAGACCACTACTAGGAGGCACTTCCAGGAATTTACCATACTGATGATGTCCAGCATCCTTTGGTGCAAAGCATTTACTCTGCAATAAAGGACTTCCTGCGTCAGTGAAATCCCCATAGGGGATGCTTTCCTATGGAGAGAGCCAAATGTACTTTAAGTGCCGCATGTGCGTGAGATCCCCAGTCAGAGCGCATTAGAAAAATGTGTTTAACCCCTTTCAAACCAGTGAGCCACGAGTAAGGGGGTACACCAGAGGTCATGGGTGCCAGGAATACCGATTTGTCACTGACTGACAACTGAAGACACATTTATGTGACTTGTGTACCCACTCAAAAACACACGGGAAGTAGTTGAATTTCCATTTAGGACAAAATTGAGCTGGAGATTCAGTTTCGCTGCCTTCACCAATATAGCTAGTGGAATATAGGAGGCTGGAGTCGAGTGTTAAAATAAGCTATTTAAGTTTTTTTCACCTACCTGAGGCCAGGGAGAGTGATATCCTGATCCATGGTGGTCCAGTGGGAAATAGAGCTTGTTTGCAACTCTATTAGATACCACCAGCACTGGGAAAATAGACCATTAACATGCTCCAATGCAGAGAAAGGAAGCAAGTAAAGGCCAAGTTCTCTCCCCCTCCATGCCTCTGATAAGGGACTGGCTGGCTACTGCAGCTGCCATTGATTGTCTGATTTCTCAGGTTACTGAGGGTAAGTGGAGTGACCAAAAGACAGGGATAGTCAGTGAGGCCTTTTAGTCTCCTTGCTGGCTTGATCAGCAGATCTTACTCTGGCTGCATTAGAGTGTTGCTAGGCACACCATGTGTGCATGGCTATGGTTAATATTACCATCCCTGATGCCCTAAGCTGTGGGCTTTTGGACATGGCCAGATTTCCCATATGGTTTCATTTATCTTCAGTGATTTCTGCAGAAAGCAGATCCATCTATTGTTAATAGGAGTGCAGCTCATACACCAATTCCATTAGATGATACATAAGCCAAGATCAGGGAGGAAAACCATTGATGAGAGTATGCATAATGACCAGTGACATTTAGATAATCTGTTGCAGACACCATCGAATAGCAAGTCAGCCGAAAGCCACCCAGCCGACAAGCCAACTGCACTGGTCTTCTATAACACTCACATTTGGAATTACATGAGGAGTAATTTAAAACAAAAGAAAACCCAAGACAATTCTTTGATAATGCCAATACGTTTAATTGTGAGCATGGCGTAGTGCAGAACGTCTTGGAAAGTCATTTTCTAGGGATGGAAGTTTGTCCTGACATTGTTACAGTTTTACTTCACAGGGCATTGGCTCTCCAGCTAGGCCTTTCAGCAGATTGTTTACGGTCAGGACAGACATTGCGTTTCTTGCGTCGAGAGTGGCACTTCCAATATGAGGTAAAATCACTGTGAAGAACAGAACAAGTTAGCCAGAATATGGAGATATGAGATGTGTATTTTGCACAAATAAGTGCATGCAGTCCTTTAATCCATCATTACAATGGGTTGAGGAAGCATTTCCCACCCTTTTTGCATATGCAATTCTCATTTACCTTTTCAAAAATTAAACTAGAATTGCTTACATTAAAGCCAACTGTCTGGGCACCAAGTTTGTCTCCATATATTAATGGATCTCATTACAGCCAGTGCTTTTATTCTACATATGGTTGTCCTATTCCTTCAAATCCCAGCAATGTCCACATCAAACAATATTAGGGGTCTCCTACAGCAGCTTTCAAATTAAACTTTATTTTACATTGACATGTTTCCATAAATAGATTGACTGCTGCAGAATTGCTTTGTAACCTGTATTCTATTTCCCCCCACCAAACAAGGTGTAACTACAGTATGATAATTCTGTATTGAACACAGAAAATATCTTGACACAAGCAGGTTGTAAATACTACTCCACTTAGAAAGACAAAGCCATTAAAAGTTTAAAAAAAAACGAAAAAAAAAAAAAACACATACCACAGTTTTTCAGGCTGAGTAGGGGATGATCTGTCGGAATAGGTTCAGGAGTTGTAACATCCAGGCCAGCAGCTGCAATCTGCCCACTTGTCAAGGCATCATGAAGATCTTCTTGGTTTACTACAGGACCTCTGGGTAGGGAGGATAGAAGATCAGCAACTCAAATGTAGACATTACAAACCATCTTTATGGTTCATATACATAGACTTGTTATTTACAATGTTTAATATAAGTACTACAGAACAGATCATTTGTGTGCAAAGCATGTGGCTAAAAGTGCATAACAGGGCAGTATGGGATTTGATGCTTCCCTGCATAAGGCATATTGTAATATTGCTGTGTGGACACCATACAGAACATACCTGGAAGGAATTTTTTTTTTTTAAGTTTGTGACATTCAAAAACCAGCCCAAACTTCCACTGTGCACATTTACACAATTGGTATCTTAAGTGCTGTTTTGGATGGCCAGCATTTGTTTCTGCCATTTGGAATATGTAGTGTGAGTGTTTCCTTCACTGTGTGAATAGGAGACATTTTGTAAGGAATATTGCATGTGCTGAGGATGCAGTGTGTTTGAGATGTAGAATGTGACAGGGTTTGTAGGGTGTAGCAAATTAATTGTGTGTGCTAGAGATTCTGTGTTTCTAGGGGATGCAGCGCATGTGTGCTGGGATGTAGTTTGTATGTTTGAGTGCAGAGTCTTTATTTTGATTAAGTGTGCATGTGTGCCTGCGCAGGGGATTGGCTTACCACATGTGCACTGCAGCCAATCATGTGTGGTGTGACAGTGAGGTGGATGGCTGAGAGAAGAGCAAAAAGGCTGGGAAGAGATTGTGTAGGTTAGGTGGCAATCTGGAGATGAATTAGGCAGTTGAGGTGGCAGACTAGGGGGAAGGATAAGGGAGATGAGCAGGCAGTTTAGGTGGCAATCTGTAGAATGCTTAGGGAAGTGGTGTCATATTTTGGGGGAATTATGGTGTGTCATCGCTCTGCTTTTTCTCTATCACAGCAGGTGGGATTGCTGGACAGTGCAGCCAAAGTGAGTAAGATGTAGTGTCACCTTGGGAAGACTATAGCTAGCACATTGCAGATTGTGGCTAGTGACAGCTGTGTTGGGCTCTTTGAGAGATTGTAGGACTCTCACCCAGCAGCTGACAGGGTTTAAAGGACCACTCTAAGCATCCAGACTACTTCAGCTTAATGAAGTGGTCTGGGTGCCAGGTCCAGCTAGGCGTAACCCATTCTTTTATAAACATAGCAGTTTCAGAGAAAGCCTCTAGTGGCTGTCTCATTGACAGCCGCTAGAGGCGCTTGTGTGATTCTCACTGTGAAAAATCAGTGAGAGCATGCAAGCGTCCATAGGAAAGCATTGATAATGCTTTCCTATGCGACCAGCTGAATGCGCGCAGCTCCTGCCGCGCGTGTGCATTCAGCCGCCGGGGAAGAACGGAGGAGGAGAGCTCCCCGCTCAGCACTGGAAAAAGGTAAGTTCCCCCTTTCCCCCTTCCAGAGCCAGGCGGGAGGGGGACCCTGAGGGTGGGGGCACCCTCAGGGCACTATAGTGGTCCTTTAAGAATGTTGTGGCCATTGCCCTGATCCACAAAAAATAAAATAAAAGTCCTGCGTGTTATGGGGGGAGGAACTGTAGTAAAAAGCATTTACAACAGTCACAGCCCATTCATTCAAACTCCGTTCTTCCACTGGAAGTAGTATGGACAGACATGTGCAATTTGTTTGTCCGAATTTAAATTCTGATGAATTTCAGATGCTTAAAAAATTGCCGAATTTCAGAAGTGCTGAATTTCTGAAAAGTGGCAAAACAGGAGAGGGAGGGAAAATTAAGGGAATGACGACAAGAATCTAACCCCAACCCTACTAGGGTTAGGGGAAATGCCGAAGTTCAGAATTCGAATTGAACTTTTTGCCCATGCACATCCTAGTATTGGATAAGAGATCAGTTTTCTTCATTAGTATTGAAATCTCTTTACAAAACCTTGTGCTCAAGCTTTGCCAGACACTAGACTGTTTCGATGGAGCCTTTTCTGTTATGTAAATTGCATTTTAGACTTTGCAAGTTGTAGTTAGACTGGCAGGGTTGGATTAACATAGGGTCCAGTTGAGCTGCAGCTCCAGGCCCATTGATTTAACAAACAAAAACACAAAGTTTTATACTATTCACTTATTTCAGCTAGAAGTATGGCTGTAGGGGAACTTTTTGCACTATTCTTGCTGCTTCGATATCTACACTCATTTCCCTTTCTTCTACACTCACTACATACAACTTTTCCTGGTCCCCAGACTAATAGCTTCTGCTGAGCTCAGGGTGCTGTCTGCACAGTATGTCCTTAGGCTGCCTTCCAATCATACAGGCTGGCCTTCCAATTCTTTGAGCAGACACACCCCTTAGGGCAGTTCTGGTTACAATATTTGCGTCAGTGGCCCATACTTTTAACCCATCTGACATCCTGCTTCACTGGACACTGATGTTAGGGTGTTGGATTTACTTGGAAGATGAAGGCAAGAGATTAGCATAAGATATGTATTCTTGTAAATTCATCCTGTGAGGTCCCTCCAGTACCACCTCCACTAGTTACACGCTTGGGAGGTATAGCCATTTTCTGTAGTTAGGCCCAATGGGCTCTTAATCCAGTCACGACTTCTGGTTGGTCTGCCCATTCATGCAGGTGCAGTTTCACCAAGTTTCATTATGCATTTATAAGGCCACCAGTTTATTCCCAAAGATGATGCTCTAGTTGCCTCTGCGGTACATTACTTGCAGGGAACCTTAAGGTGTTCCTTCTGATAGGCGGAGAGCATCAGTTTGGGAGAGGGTCGGGGAGAAGACCACCATAGAGCATTTTAGCATTTGGTTTGAACACAGACTTACCGACTTGTGTTGATGAGTATAGCTGTCTTTTTCATTCTCCGAAAGAAGTCTTTATTGCAGAGCCCTTCAGTCTCAGGGGTAAGGCAGCAATTCACAATGACAAAGTCTGAATCTTCTGCAATCTTCTCATTAGAGACTAAAGATGGGGAGAACAAAACCAGTTTGACACACATTAGTAGAATCAGCCAGAGCAAGCTGCTGCCATACACAAACATCTCTAGCTAGTTGTCCCCATTACTTAGTTGATCAAGGTCACTGAAATCTGGCCTTTTAACATAATTTAAGCCAATATGCAGCTACAGTTAGCTATATAAAGTGATAATGCATAAAATCCCTATAGAAACATCTCATCTACAGAAGGGTACCAAGCTTAGGGGACTGACTTCTACACGAGACTGGAAGCACCCAGAGGAGTATCATACTTAAAATATTTTGACTAGTCACAATGGAATGGCATCCATTGGAGGGCTGTATTTATACGATTCCAAGATGGGCCTTAAATCCCCATGCTATTCCCAGTTATAGCATTTATTCTTACCATATTCAGCGTTTATCTCCTTGGCATTTTCAGGTATTTCCTGGAAATCTGTGTATATAAACCTTTTCACACCAAATGGGACAAGACGACATGCTACAGCCAATCCTAGAGAAAATAAAGATGCACACTAAAAATGCAGTTTACATATTTGTAAAGCATTTAATTCTCAAAAAGTGTGGAATCTTAGTTCACCGACCACACGAGGCTCCTGCCCAAAACAGTTCAGTGTGTGCAGTCAGTCAATTTGGAAAAGTGCATTAAAAAAATAAAATAAAAAATAAACCCATGAACAGAGCCTCCTAGCTCATAGAAGCGATTGTTCCCCTTGTTTGTGGGAGCCAAACTACCGAATAGCGCTCTCCTAACTGTTTGGCAACAAAAGGAAGGTGTTCAAATGTTCTCATCGGTGTTCGAGAAGTAGTGTCCAGACACTCAAACAAGTCCCACTGCTCCCTTTTGTGCAAACAAGATGGCCACTGTTTGACTATGAACGGTGGCCACCGAGGGAGCGCTCAAATGATGGTTCCCTTTGTAGATAATGGGCCAGGAGGGTGGTCTGCGTTCGGTAGTTTAATCTACCGAACCAATAAAGCTTAAAAACAAACGACAGAAGAAATCCTGAAATCAAGTCTGTTTTCTTCACACTGAAGCATCACAGGAAGCTCACACAAACTAGATTGCCAGTGTTTGCAGTCACTGTTCGGTATTGACTTAAACTTACAGGAAGCTTCTTGAAATTAACTACAGTTTGTTAGAACAGATTTACCCATCAAAATAGCAGCTATAGTTACCAATTCTGCCCAAGCCGATGATGCCTACAGTGCTGTTAGAAAGGCCTGCTCCACACAGCCACATTGGAGACCATGTTTTCCATCCTCCACTAAAATTAAAAAAAAATAAGCCAATGAAAGTCGATAATTTTGAAGAACTAGAAATTCTTTGCATACTAGCGACAAGCCAAGTAATTTTATAGCAAGACAGGAGGCTTCATATTTGCTTATTTCTTTACTGTAACTCCCAGCAAAGAAATAGTTAACAATGTTGTAAAAAAAAAATAAAAAAAATTTCAACCAAACATCAGAACAATATAGTGCCACCAGACTCCTTTATATTCTCTCAGGAAACCTTATTTTTTAATGGGACACATTTGGTCTTTGTTATATCACACATCTTCCTTATTACCAACTCAGTAGTAGTCACCACATCCACTAATATTTTTTACATTAATTAATTCTCCTTTAAATATCTGGAGATCTGTTCCCATACGGAGGTTTCGCCTGACTTGTTAATCAGCTGGCCGTGGCTCTCCTCAGAAGAGACCGCGGCCCATCCGCTATCTATTACCCGCCGCAGACTACTTCCCATGAGCCCGCGGCTGTTTTTTCCCGCCTTTTCTTCCTCTCCGATGCGTTTTTTCCCGCCCTCTTGCGATGGCTTCATTTGCGGCGGCCGTCTTCCAACCGTGGTGCACTTCCCCGCAGCTCCAGTCTCTGACAGCATCTGCGCGCTGGCAATCAACTGCTTCTGTGGGAACACCTGTTGCCTATATTGTGGACGGGAGGTTTTACCATTACTGATTCAGCCTCATTTCATTAAGAACGATCTGTTTTGCCCCCACACAGGACCAACCTGCTACAACCTGGGTGAACCCCTTTCCTTAAATTGAATGCTTAACATACATTACCATTCATTAAATTTGTGTGGCTGACACCACCTGGTTTTATTTTGTGGGTGACCCCCACCTTCTCATTGCATATATTATATGAATTATACTGGTGATTTCCACCCCCTTTTTTATTCTCCAGTGGGTGACCCCCACTTCATTGACTATTGTATATATTGCTTATTCTGAAATACTAAGTGGTTGACCACCTTTAATTATTGGATGACCCTCCATTAATTGCCCTTTACCATTTATTGTGCCAGACAGTTGTGGGTGACCCCCCACTGTTTTTACATCTCGTGTGGGTGACCCCCACCTCTGATATTCTAATGGAGTTGCCTCATTTTTAATTGACAGCCCTCACTTAGTTTTTTTATATATTGAGAAAGACATTATGTCAGACCGCCAAGACCCCGCAATTTCTGCTGAACTTAAGGAATGGCTTTTCGCCACTAATCGCAGAGTCCATTCCTAAGGCTTTGGCAGCCTATCATGAACAAACTACTGCAGAGGTTCATCCCTCTACACACTAACCCTTTGATTCTGAGGACTCCCACCTTTCTGACCAAGAAAGCGCCCCGCGCAAAAGACCCTGGAAAGGGAATAGCTCTACTGCGGGCAAAGCTCCTGCAAAGATTAATAAACACTCCCAACCATACATTATGCAGGATCCAGACCCTCTGGAGGGTTCTACTTCTCGTTTAGCCAGCCATTTTTTAAGTGATTATGACCCCAACTACTCTGATGAGGATCCCATGGTGAATGTGCTCCAGGATTCACCAACGTCAGAGTTCGTTAAAGAAACCTTTCCTGGTCAGGATTCCAAGAGTACCCTTCCATCTAAAGTGCCTGACTCCGACACTGCTGGATGCCTCTGGCCTCCCTTTTGACCCAAGGGTGATTCGTCACCTGCGCTCTGCAGAATGGGTCCCTCCGGACCATATTGCCAGTTTCTGCTAAATGTGGCTTCGCAAGCCCCTCGAAAAAGAAATAAACTGAGGGCTGAATGCCCAAGACCAACTATTCCGGGCAAAGTTGCCTCTACCCCTGAGTTCGACCCCATTCTTGTCACCTACTTAACTAAATCTGGCAAAGACCCTTGCAAGGGTATTGACCAGGGGTTGAAAGCGGCCCAAGACAAACTTCTTGACATTTCAAGTCCTATAATTCAGGTATTTATATTAGCAGATGAGGCACTCACTAGCGGTGAACTTGACCCGCACATCAGAGAATAGGCTCAGAGAGCTCTATGCCTATTGGGCAACGCCAATGTGCTATTTCGATAGATGGAAAGTTATAAAATTCATGCCAAATTGGTAGACTTTAGTTCTAAGGAACTGAGCCCAGAAGCCGATGGTCTACTATTCGGTGACAGTTTCATGCGAGACCTCTCCAAGCATGTCTTGGTCTTTACCACACTCAAAGCCCAGTCCTCATTACGTAGGGTTTTACAGGGGCAGAGCTACCAGTAGAGCAGCCTTTGCAGGCTACAGGCCCCGACCCACAGACTATTGGTCCGCAGGATCCACACGACCTTACCACAGACAACTATTCAGCACCAGAGGCTCTATTCGAGGACGTGGCTTTGCATCCCTGCGCGGACGCATTGCTTCAGGTAATGGACCTTGCTTATTTAAAACATGTACCAATCGCAGGTCGATTAACATTTTCCAACAGTGGAAACTTTCTCAGGATCACTGGATCCTTCATACAGTCAAAGGTTTCAAAATAGATTTCTTCACACATCCCATTCAAAACTGACACCTTTAGAGATGTCAAAAACAGACACTAACCTTAAATTCAGAGTTACACAAACTACTAGACAAAGGGGCGATTGAACTTTCGCCTTTCCCTTACACTTGCCTCAGCAACATTTTTCTTGTACGGAAAAAGATGGGGGACCGCCGTCCTATTATCAATCTCAAAGCACTGAATCATTTTATAACATACTGTCATCTTCTCAGGGACCTGCTCTGCATGGTAGACTGGTTCTCCAGATTCGACCTCAGGGATGCCTACCTGACGGTCCCAGTCGCACCAAGTCATCGTGCCTTCCTTCAATTTCTATGGCAAGGCGAAATTTGGCAGTGCAACTGCCTCCCTTTTGGACTTTGCTCCGCCCCTTGGTGTTTCACCAAGTTAATGAAGCCGGTCATGGCGCTACTCTGTTCTCAGGGAATACGTTCTGTCATATATCTAGACGATATCCTGATTATGGCCCAAGACCAACAGCTACTTCACAAACACATGAACATGACCTCTGCCCTCCTTCAAAACCTTGGTTGTTATAAGGTTTTGAGAAATCAGATCTGGAACCCTCTCAGTGCAGTTTCTGGGTTTTCAAATAGATTCAATTCAGGCAACCCTGCAACTACCCTACCCCAAAATAAAAAAAAATAAAAAAAAAATTTACTCACTTCACAACGACCTCTGCTCCGCGACCTTGCACATATTCTGGGTCTCCTGTCCGCATCAATTCAAGTTATTTTTCCCGGGCCTTTACACTACAGAGCAATGCAACGGTTGAAAACATCCTACTTGCATCGCGCAACCTCTTACGATCAATTCATATCCCTGACAGACGAAGTTCTCATCGAACTCCACTGGTGGCTTTGCAATATGGAAGCCTGGAATGGGAAAGCGATCTGTGGAACTCAACCAGATTTTATTCTGGAATCCAATGCCAGCCTCTTGGGTTGGGGTGCTACATGCGCCCAAACATTCACAGGGGTCTCTGGTCCCCATCAGACCAGGCGCTCCACATAAGTTGTCTCGAGCTCATTGCTAGATCCTTTGCGAGCCGCAGCTTTGCCAAGGACGCCTCCAACTGTTCCCTGGTACTACGGAGGGACAACATCTCCGTGGTACAGTATGTAAACCAACTGAGGTTCCAAATCCAAACTTCTGTCCGATCTCACCAAGGACCTGTACCAATTCTGCCTAGACAGGAATCTGTCCATTCGGGCAGAATATCTCCCAGGACCCGACAACTTAGTCGCGGACTGGTTTTCACGTCACTGGAGAGATGCCAGCGATTGGCAATTAGACCCCTTAATTTTCCACCACATTCAGCTATTACGGGGGCCCCCTCACACTCGACCTCTTCGTGTCTCAGCTGAATCGTCAGACAGACTACTTCAGATGGCTCCCAGACCCTCCATCTCTGGCAGTCAACGCTTTTCTCCAACCTTGGCCGCAGAGTGGAGCCTATGCTTTCCCTCCTTTCTCGATGATTCAACGGACCCTCCACTGGGTCAAGGCGCAAGGGGTCAAGATTGTGATAGTTACTCCTCTATGGAGGGCCCAGACGTGGTTCCCCACCCTCCTGGAACCATCAATAGACTACCCCATCCTACTACCTCGCTCCTTTCGGGTCCTCAGGAACCCAACGGGCGCTTACCACCCACTCGCCCTACAGGGGCATCTTCAACTGGTAGCCTGGACAGTTTCAGGGGAGCTTGGCATGTCGTAGGATTTTCATGCACTGCTCAAACACTCCTGTGGGATTCGTGGGCTCCAGGAACCAGACGAACCTCTCTCCGCATGGCGGATTTGGGTCAGCTGGTGTCTGAAGAGGGATCTCAATTCCGTTTCAGCAGCTCTTTCATCCATTCTAAACTTCTCTTTTCTATCAGGGTAAATCATACCGATCGATTAATATTTTTTGCTCCGCCATTGCGGCAGCCCATGACACTTGATAATTCCTTGGTTGGGAAACACCCTTCCGTGTGCAGACTTTTACAGGGCATTTGTTTGACGAGGCCACCTTCTGCCAAATACTCTAAGTTCTCGGATATTTCTCAGGTTTTCACTGTTGGATTCCTGGCCACCAAACAAGGCCTTATCCCTACGCCAACTCTGCGAAGTTGGCCCTGCTACTGTGTCTGGTGTCCTTCCGCAGAGTTTCAGACGTTCAAGCCTTTGACTCATGCTGTGACCTTCACACCAGACGGTGTCAGATTTACCATTACTAGACGCACTAAGACAAATTCATAGTCAGTCTTTTATCCATACTTCCCGACACACCGTCTTTCAGTGTACTCAATGTAACAACGGGTACACAGGGCTACACAATCTCTCTACGTTCCCCTACCGGACCTCTTTGTCTCTTATGTTAGACCTCACAAACCGGTCTCCTCCCCCACCATTGCACGCTGGATAAAATGGTTACTTACCCAAGCAGGAATTGATAGATCATTCGGAGCTCACTCCGTTAGGGGAGTGGCCGCATCCTCTGCCTTTCGCGCAGGCAGATATTTTATCCTCCGCAGATTGGTTAAGGGAATCTACCTGTCGCACTTTTTATTTTAAACCAACACCACGTGCGGCTTGTTCCTTTATTCAAGAGTGTTAAAAACAGCAAATATGAAGCCTCCTGTCTTGCCATAAAAATTAGGGATTATTCTAGTTTACAGTAAACGAATAATCTAAATTTTATTAAAGACAGGAGGTGAATATTTCCCTCCCTTCGTTCACTCTGGAACCCACCCTCAGGGTAAGTCTCCTGGTCCATGGTTATTGCATTGTACACTCTTGCAATTTGATTTGCAGGTATGCGATTTGTTAGCCTAGTAAACTATAATCCTACATCACATTGTACTGATATGCCTTTTAGAATCCTACCAGATAATCTGAGCTATCATTTTAGAGTGCGTACTTATGTTTTTTCCCCTCGTCCAAGAGACCATACTTTCACGAAGTCTCTTCTAGTGTGAAAATTTCAGCTTATTCCGCTCGACTACACATTTACATGGTTGACTTCACTACAAGTTAAAGCCTCGGAATGTTTCCAGGGTTGATTCTGCTACTGATGGGCACCACCAAGAAAGGAAGTGGGAGGAGTCTGGCGGCACTATATTCTATGATTTGTTATGATTGGTTGAATTTTTTTACAACCTTGTTAAATATTTCTTTGCTGCTGGGAGTTACAGTAAAGATAAGCAAATATGTAGCCTCCTTATTCGTTCACTGTAAAGCAGAGTAATCCCTAATTATGCATTATAGAACAAGCAGCATTTTCTGGACAAATCAAACTAAATAGAGGAAAATATCAGGATGGGGAAGAAGATATTTTAATTAGATTAAACCAAGCACCAGGACCAATTTACTGATCTAAGTCAGAGTCTGGAAATCGGTTTTAGCTCAATGTTGCACATACAGAAATGCAATCTCTGGCTGACAGGTGTAACTACCTTCAGCTGTATCACTGGTGTGCCAGCACATGCAGCCATTAATGTCACAGCTCTCACCTGTGTTGACCATGTCTTCCCCCAGCTGACCTTCTGTGGAAGCTAGGGCTGCAAGGAGGACTTTCTATCTGTTGCTGGACCAGATGTTACCATTTCCCACCTCTAGTGTAGGACCCACAGATATTGTTTACTGTGACAAGTGGGCTTGACACAATATGGCCCTATAGTGAAACTTCATCCCCATTGTAATCTGACAAAATAGGAAACTTAAAAATTTAGAACTGTGTGCGCGGTTCCTTAAAGGACCACTATAGTGCCAGGAAACACTCATTTTCCTGGCACTATAGTGCCCTGAGGGTGCCCCCACCCTCAGGGTCCCCCTCCCGCCCGGCTCTGGAAGGGGGAAAGGGGTTTAAACTTACCTTTTTCCAGAGCTGGGCGGAGAGCTCTCCTCCGATCCGCCCTGTCGGCTGAATGCGCACGCGCGGCAAGAGCTGCGCGCATTCAGCCGGTCACATAGGAAAGGTTCATAATGCTTTCCTATGGACGCTGGCGTGCTCTCACTGATTTTCACAGTGAGAATCAAGCAAGTGCCTCTAGCGGCTGTCAATGAGAGCCACTAGAGGAAATAGGGGAAGGCTTAACCCATTGATAAACATAGCAGTTTCTCTGAAACTGCTATGTTTATGAAAAAAAAAGGGTTAAACCTAGCTGGACTAGGCACCCAGACCACTTCATTAAGCTGAAGTGGTCTGGGTGCCTAGAGTGGTCCTTTAATGTGTATTTAAGACTAATTGATATTTGTAGGGATCAGTGTGTCTAAAGCATGTGTTTGTAGATTTACTTTTCCATTGCAATCCAGTTTATAAAATTGCCATCGAAATATGTTTATAATGGGTGGTTACATGTAGCTGAATTTGTCGTAGTACAATCTAATGAGACGCAGTTCTGGAACAGTATCTTCTTGCTACAGGTCATTCTGGGGCAGCTCTGCTAGTCTTATGAAAGCCAGTGGAAGTTACCCTTATTTGCAGGTTTACACTTACCAGATGTATATAGCTCTAAGCTAAGCCCTCTTTCCTCCACCCATTTAACTTGCCAGTGCAATGGCAAAGAATGTAGCCCGCTCAGCTTATATGCTGCCTGTTTGGCAGCTCCCAAGACTATGCATGCCAGGTTAGCTGGTTATGCTGCCTGGTGCAACAGTTACACTGCTGACACCACCCTGCATGCAGGCTGGCACACCCCAGAATTTGGTCTCAGACAAGGTTGGACAGCAGGATCTATGATACTGTATGAAGTGGTCTCAGGTGCCCCCAGTCCCTACCAGATTATGTAAACACATGGTATGGTGTGCAATTATTCAGTATTTTGTATATTAAGCAGATTGCGTGTATTGGGAAGAGGTTTGGAATGGAAAGTAGCAGTAGGTTTGTAACAAGTAGTATAAGATTTCCTACATTCATGCATAGTAGTTAGGAGTATTCTACACATTCCAAATTTGATTACTCACTTTTTAACCTCCTCTCTTGCTTCTGGCAGACGGCGGCAAGTAGTCAACAGCAATGCTACCGTAAGCTCTGCTGTAGCTTCAGTCGAAACATTTGGTGTGTTGCTCACACGGATTCCTCTACAAAATACATAAACGTCACTTTGTTTTAAACTAGACACCACATGTCTCAGAAGTACATTTACTTTAGTGAGTATATTTCTTTCCTCAATTGAATTTGACAGTCCTCTTTGGAGATAAAAAAAAAAAAAGAATATATAAGACCACCCCAATGCTGACCTTAGAGAGTGTTTAAAGTTGATAACTAACCAAGGGTATGCTTTGCTGACCAATAGGCAGTGTATCCAGACTTAAGGAACACAGACATTTATTCTGACCTTACAGTGCAAAACTCCTTAATTCCAGCAATGAGCAGGTCTACTGGGCCCCACCCCCTTGGTGACATCAGAATTGCAGATTTTAGCCAATCCAATGTTTTCACCATGGGGAAATCATTGGATTGGCCAAAGTTGCTAGGGGTGGGGCCAGATGCCATTTTGGCCAGTCAGCCCCTTCTCATTCAGCGTCCCCATGCAGATTGTGGAGACGCTGAACAGCACTGAACCAGGAAGCCCCTCTAGTGGTCATCTGAGGACTGGCCACTTGGAGGTGTCCCTAGGGGCAATGTAAACACTGCCTTCTCTGAAAATGCAGTGTTTGAATGAAAATGCCTAGAGGCAGTGATTATACTCACCAGAACTACATTAAGCTCAGCTGTAGTTCTGGTGACTAATGTCCCTTTAACCCATTAAAAATGGAGGGCGTACTATTACGCTGTATTCTAAGCGGCTCTAAACACCGCAGGGCATAATAGTTCACCCTCCGTATTTTTTTACCTTACCCAGTCGCGGACACACTATATATAATTATACATTAATATCAAGTTACATGTAGACCAATACTGATTAAATATATAATATAAAAAATGTTAAATTAAAAATTAACTATAGATACACACATTAGTTCTACATATATTTATGTAATATTTTTACATACTTAGGTATTTTAATTACATTTAGCGGGACTTGCCTGACAACCCATGCCAAAAGTATAGGGAATTTAATTTGCTAGCACAATATTTAACCCTGTAACTTTCCAAGACACCATAAAACCTGTACATGGGGGGTACTGTTCTACTCGGGAGACTTCGCTGAACACAAATATTAGTGTTTCAAAACAGTAAAATGTATTACAATGATATTGCCAGCAAAGGTGACTCTTGCATTTTTCACACACAAATAGCACACACACGGACTATATTATTGCTGTGATACTTTTTACTGTTTTGAAACACTAATATTTGTGTTCAGTGAAGTCTCCCGAGTACAACAGTACCACTCACATACAGGTTTTATGGTGTTTTCAAAGGTTACAGCGTCAAATATAATGCTTGTGTTTCAGTTTTTTCCCCCCACATTAAAATTCGCCAGATTGGTTATGTTGCGTTTGAGACCCTATGGTAGCCCAAGAATGAAAGTTACCCCTATGATAGCATACCATTTGCTTAAGAAGACAACCGAAGGTATTGCAAATGGGGTATGACCAGTCTTTTTAGTAGCCATTTGGTCACAAACACTGGCCAAAGTTAGTGTTAATATTGTTTGTGTGTGAAAAATGCCAATTTTGGCCAGTGTTTGTGACAAACAAAAAAACCCAAAACTTTTAGATCCCATATACTATGGACATCTTTAGTGTTGCAAGTATTTTTCGTAAAAAAAAATAAAACCCACACACCACACTTCAGAGTGATCTAATTTCATTAAATCAGACCAACTCAAACCAAAAAAATTAAAAAGCGCTCCCCTATTCCTTGCAGTACCATTTACAAAAAAATAAAAAATAAAAAGAAAGTCAGTTATACATTCAAGGCCAGAGTTGGTTAACGTGTATGTAAATATTATGAGTGGAGAACCTGTTAAAGGACCACTCTAGGTACCCAGACCACTTCAGCTTAATGAAGTGGTCTGGGTGCCAGGTCCAGCTAGGGTTAACCCATTTTTTCCATAAACAGCAGTTTCAGAGAAAGTGCTATGTTTATGAATGGGTTAAGCCTCCCCCTATTCCCTCTAGTGGCTGTCTCATTGACAGCCGCTAGAGGCGCTTGCGTGCTTCTCACCGATTTTCACAGTGAGAGCACGCCAGCATCCATAGGAAAGCATTATGAATGCTTTCTTATGTGACCGGCTGAATGCGTGCGCAGCTCTTGCCGCGCGTGCGCATTCAGCTGACGGGGCGGAGAAGAGGATCGGAGGAGGAGAGCTCTCCGCCCAGCGCTGGAAAAAGGTAAGTTTTTACCCTTTTCCCCCTTCCAGAGCCGGGCGGGAGGGTGTCCCTGAGGGTGGGAGCACCCTCAGGGCACTATAGTGGTCCTTTAAGCCTGTTCGTGCATGCTGAAAAAAAAAATTTCAGCACAACACGTATTAACTTACATGTTGCCAAGTTTAAGTGCTCTATGAATTAGAGTACTTTTTTATTGATCTGACAATTAGATCCTTTAAAGAATACATACCGCTTTTTTATTTCTTCTACACACAAGTGGTCAAAGCCAACAGACAGCGTGCTCACAACTTTGAGGTTAGGGCCTGTCAATAGCAACAAGAGAGGAATTAAGGTCATACAATTCCCCATATTGTCCACAACACTTGCCCACCCATTAAGAAATTAATGTCTGGTAGCAACATTCATAGAGTTCAAGGGAGCATTGTCATTAGGCCAGACTAAAACCCTGGCTTTCACCAATAAAGACCTACACCAAAAAAAAAACAAACCACAAGACATCCAGTGAATGCCTCCACGCCAAATATATTGAATACAGTGAATCTCTAGGACTGCAGTGAACCAGAGTGGACCAACATCTGTCACTCCATTTATATACTTCTATATTAAAAAAAAAAGAGTGGGGTTAGCTCCGAGAAATACTGCAGTCCAATCAAGTTGCCATCACAGCAAATGGGAAAACTGCATACATGCTGCGCTGTTGACATTGCCCAGTATGCTGAGGAAGTGATTGACAAGTCAGAGTCTATAAAACCTTTGTGCTACCAAGCATAGAAATAAAGAGTTTTCATTTAAGTTAAGTGGTGTATCACAAATCATGGGGTTCAAAGATATATATTACATCTTCATCTCTAGTTTAACCCCAATTTAGACCATTAATTTCGGCAGTGTCACTTGTTCCTGTATTCTTGAAGAAAGATGCCGAGAACCATAACCACTACAGTGGCATGCAGTGTCCCTTTTTAAAAACCATTGTAGAACAGTTTAACTTCTTAGCTAGTGTCCACCAGGTGCTGGCCCCTGCCCCCATTACATCAGTGATGTTGAAGCTCATGCTTAAAGGGAAACGCCAGGAAAATAGTTTTCCTTGCACTGCAGGTCCCCTCCCCTTCCCACCCCCCAATCCCCAGTTGCTGAATGAGTGAAAACCCAGTGACTTACCAGAGGCAGCAACATGTCCCATGCTGCTTCTTCCTCCGCTCCTCCTCCTCCGTATTACGTCGGCCCGGTGGGCGAGACTGATCCCGCCCACTGGCTGGGGAGACCTAATGCGCATGCTTTTTCAATGCTTTCCTATGGGGAATTGAGCAATGCTGGAGGTTCTCACACAGCGTGAGGACGTCCAGCAACACTAGCACAGGTTTTCTAGTAGACAGCCACGAGGTGGAGTTAACCCTGCAAGGTAATTATTGCAGTTAAAAAAAAAAAAATCAATAATTACACTTGCAGGGTTAAGAGTAGTGGGAGAAGTGGGCAGAAGTGGTCTGGGTGCCTGGAGTGTCCCTTTACTCTCATAAGCCAACTGCTGCAGTTATGGTGCTTTGAGTTCCTTCAACCCTTTAAAATCCATGCATACATGTTACAAAAAAAAGACACTTGAATGGTAAAAGGACAACATAGCATAGGGTAGATGTTGTAGGACTTATTGGAGTATGCAGGAGATCTCCATACCAGCAGCATTCAAGACTTCTTTGTCAATATTGTCAGTCAAGAGACAAAGTAATCCATGAGCCCCAACAACTCCTTTAATCAGCTCATCTCTTGGTATTTGCTCATCTGAATCCCACTGCTGGACATTGTAGCTAGAACGAAGAAAAGGAAAAATAAGGTTTGCAGACAGAAGATTCTTCAAATACAGACAGTTTCACTCTTAAAATACAGCCTCTTCCTACTTTCATCCTATTAAAGCAGTACTGTCACCATAGGGGGAGTTTCTGAATTCATATAGAGACCCCCCTAAATGGTGACATTGCTGCTGGGGGTCCAGTGGCAGGAGGTAAATGTGTGATTTACCTGAACTTGTCCCTATTGGGCACTGCCATCTTCCTTTGTCTGCTTCTCTTCAAGGCCACAAGCAATTGCCCCCTAGTGAAAATCGTGGTCAAAGATCTCCCCTGCCGGCTGATGCTATTAAAGTCCCGACCCTGCTGTGGGCCTTCAAGGAGTGGAAGGGAGATCAGAGACCCTTTAAATATACATACTTCAATTTCAGTGAAATTTGACAGCACAGGGTCTTAACTTTAGAAGTTTGTCTCTGTAAATTCACCTTTAGTCACACACAGGAGGCCCCTGTGAGCTATTAAAGCAGGAGATAAATTCTAAATTAAAAAGAATTTACAATAAAAAGGTAGTGTAAACATTAGATGACACTTTACAGGAAGTGTTTAGGAAAGTGGCTAGGGTTGCATAAACAAAGTGATGCACTCAAACAGCAGAGAACTGAGCAGTGAGACTGCAGGGGCATTATCTACAACCCAAAAATGGCTTAATTAAGCAGGAATTACATTGATTAGCTTTATATGACAAGATGTCCCAGTAATATGGAAGACTAGAGCTATAGATCTAGTGATTAGCATATGGAATCTAAAACAATAGATCTATTTCTCTGCACCATATACATTCTACATACTGAAGGGCATCACTTTTCATGGGATGGCATGTGTGCAAGAGGTCAATGTATATGGCAACCATATCAGATATAATGAGAGCTAGGTACCGTGCTGGCAAAACGTTTCCACAGAGGACTGACTTCATAACCACATACAGCCAGTGGTCCCTACCTGTCAGCCTGAGACAGGAGTTTCTGGCCTTCTGGGGGTATTCTCCTAGTAACAAATATCTTCTTCTGCTCTGATGTACTCATTGCTTGACTTTACTGGCTTCTGCGGACAAGGAACTGCAACTAGGATGGAAGGAACTATAGTGGGAATAACACAGATGTGAAACAACAGCACCATCTAGTGTTTGTTTACCAGTTATCAAGTTAATGAAATGGTAATATAGCTATTAAATGGCAATTTTGTATGACCATGTGATTCTAATCCAGTAGTCAAGTTAGTGATGTTATAGGCATACAGGTTATCCAAACTATCAATGTGTCTCACTAAATTGTGAATCGTTCAAAATTCATAATGAATCCTTAATTATGTTATATCTTAAAAAAAATAAAAAATAAAAAATAAAAAAAAATTATATTTGACATTAACAATTCTCACTTTAGTAGAGTCTTGCCAATAACTATATATCACTTTAGTATTTGTACATAATGCTTTTGCAAATAAACATGCATCTAACAATTCAAAAGGGGGGGGGGGGGAAAGCATAACTTTCAGATGGATTGCATCCAACAGACGAAAACCAAAAAGATAGAGCAAAATAATGTTCACCTCACCCAGCAAACTTTCAGGTATTGACTGAAGTTTTGAACATACTCCACCTCTTTTATTCTACCCAAATTAACGAGCCAATAAAAAAACCCAAAAGAAATGAAATAATCACTAATCACTAAACACTACCCACCTGCCCCCTCCCCCTCTCTCCCACATTCCATTTACATCTCACCAGTGGCTGCAATTAATCTTTAATTTTCCCTGACCATCTTTAAACCCCCTGCTACTTCTTGTCTCAACTCATTTTACCTTTAGATTGTCGCCTCATAGGCTGGCTAGTTAAAGCATTATTAAAAATATATATTTTTATTTACATTAAAATACCATATGGTCCACCTGCAAAAAAAGGTTTTAAACGTTCCTTAAAGGAACACTTAGCATTACAAAACTTTAAAAAAATTACATACAAAACTGTATTCCTAATGCTATAGTCTACCTCTGTCCTTGGATCAATGCCTGCCCCCACCCCTAGGTGGAAAGAGTTAAAATCTATTTAAACACTTACCTTTTTCCAGTGCTGAGGTCTTCTCTGCCTCCTTTGATGTCATGGGCAGGGCAGGACTGGGAATGAAAAGCAGCCCTGGAAAAAAATTCTATACCAGCCCCATAATACATTGCGCCAGCAAGGGTGCAAAATTGAAAGCGGGAAAAAAACCCTGAAAACTATCACTCAAATGTGAAAGAAAGCACTCATAGGGCTTCAAAATAAACAACAAAAAATGGATTTGTTGTAAGCAGCCGTGCATTTGCATATAATGTTTCAGTCCAACTACCTTGACATATTAAGGAAAGTTTCGTAATTGGACTGAAATTGTGAATGTATGTTATTGCACAGCAGGAAAAAAAATGACGTTATCTTGCTTATTTTGAAGTAACAAGAGTGTGCTCTTCACTTTGTCTGACAACTGGATGATCTCAGTTAACACCAATTTAATTCCCAAAGGAAAGCATTGGGAGGCTATTGTGCATGTGTGACAAAACGCTGCGCTTCACAGCACCAATCAGCATCTCCTCATAGAGATGCATTGCATCAATGCATCTCTATGGGGAGAGTTCAGCGCCTCCATGCACCTCCATACAGAGCGTGGAGATACTCAACATAGGTGCTGCACACTGTGCAGCACTGGACTAGAAAGCAGCTCTAGTGGCCATCTGAGTGACTGTCACTAGAGATGTTCCTAGGCAGCAATGTAAACATTGCCTTTTCTCTGGAAAAGTAGCATTTACAGTGCTCAGCATACAGGGACTGGCTATAGACACCAGAACCACTACATTAAACTGTAGAAGTTCTGGTGACTATAGTGTCCCTTTAATATGAAGTCTTTCTCTCACCGGTCAAATCTAAATTACAGGGAGAGCAAGAGACACAAGTGAAGATGCATTTTTGTTTTTCTCCCCCAAGCACCTTTCATGTGTCTCTTAACCCCGGCCACTTTGTCTCTTTCTCCCCTTCCCCAGCCCTTCTGTTAGTCTTTTTCTCAGGCCGCAGCACTTCTGGGTGTCTCTTTCCCCACAGCTTCTCTGTGTGTCTCATTCTCCCCTTCCCCAGCCGCCCTGTGTATCTCCTCTTCCCCTTTCCCAGCCCCTCTGTTTCTTTCTTCCCAGACCCCTCCATGTCTTTTTTTCTCCCCAGCCTCTCCGTGTGTTTTTTTTACTCCCCTGCCCCTCCATGTCTCTCATTCCACCCTCTCCAGTCTTACATGTGTATCATTACCCCCGCCACCACTTCATGCTTCTAAATCTATCCCCCAGACATCCATGTGTCTCAATCCATCCCCCAGACCTCCATGTGTCTTATTAGCTCCCTCAGCCCCTCCATGTGTCTTATTAGACCCCCAGCCCTCCATGTGTCTCATTAGCCCCCCATGTGTCCATATAGCCCCCTCCCAGCCCTTCATGTGTGCCTATACCCCACTCCTAGCAATTCATGTGTCTCTGTATCTGCCTCCCAGCCCTTCATGTGTCCCCATGTGGGAAGATTACCTGAGAGTTTGTTTGATATAAATGTCGATATAAGCTCAGAATGTGTTACCTCTTCTGGTGGCAAATCAATGCAATCTCTGAAAACTTTTACAATAAAGGCTTGAGATGAGCAATAAAGAAAAAGGCATGACCAACCTAATTCTCTGAGGATATTTCCTAAGCTATCATAAAATTCTGGGTTGCCCAAATTAGCGACATTGTAGATCTGGGGAGAGGCTGGGAAGAGAGGCTATCTTCCAGCATGTTGTTTTCCAAAGAGTTTCCAAACATTCAGGGCTATTCAGTTTAGTGAGAATTCAGGATTAATTCATAGTTCATTTTAAATTGAAAGTCAAAAGAACCAAACTGACGTACAGTGTTTTGAAGGACCCCCCTTGTCACCAAGACTAAGATGGGATGCAAAACCAAGAAGTCCAGACCAGACAAGTACAGTCCAGGGCTAAAAATCGGCGATCTATGGCGGCAAGCACATGGTGCCACTGGGCCGACAACTCACTTGGAGCCGAAGAGGAGTACCTGCTGGCACCAGAGACACCCTAATGGAGAACACAGGGCCTAGACACATCTCCGGTGACAAAATCAATACTACAGGAGATGCTGGGCGAACTCCAGAGAAATATCTCGGCGGACATAGCAACAATCCGCAGGGACCTGCGGCGTCTTACAGGCTGCATCGGGACACTCAAAGTCACTACAACAGAGAGCACCCAACACATAAAGTCGCTCCAGCAAGCAGTGCAGGAATTACAGCACCAAAGCCAGCTCCATGAGCGCCGGTTCGCTGCCCAGGAAAAATAATCTAAAGGTGCGTGGGGTATCACTGATGGAGATCACTGACGCTGAACTTCCACACTTTGTGAGGCACTTGGTGGGGGCCTTAATACAACCCCGACAGGCTAAAGCAGTGGTGATTGAAGGACAATTCTGCATACCCAAACCCCTCAAAGCCCCGAACACAGCCTCCATAGACTTGGTGGTCCGTTTCAGAAACGGGTCAGACAAAATTGCGGTCCTGAATGCACTAAGGGGAAATTCACCTTACCACTTCGAGAATATGCCCCTCACCTTCTACGCTGACCTTAGCTTGGAGAAACTTGCTCAGGCCATTCGCCACGCTCCTGCAATGGAACAATATCCGCTATCAATGGAAGCTCTCCCGCACATTAATAGTGCATCAGGGGGACACTCCGCACACTATTCACAACCTTCAAGAGGCTGCCGGAACATTACCAACCCTTGGAATACCACCAGATGCACTCACCCAAGACAATCATTTTGAGACGCCGCACTCTCACTCCTGGGACCCTACAAGCATCCTCCCTTTTGTCCCATGACAGCGCACCCCTGATTCGTATGCAGCTGCCACCGCTTGAACATCAGCAGCTTATTACCGGGAATCCCCTATACGCTAACATGTTTTGACTTGTGTTCCCTTTATTTTAATATTTCAACATTTTAATGCTTTAACAAACCAGCTGTTGCATGTTTACTTAGTGTTGCACACCACCGACCCTGAGCAGCGGTATTAAGGTCCAATCACATACAGTCTGATGGGTCACAGACCGATCGCTCCAGGCCCTATCAGTCACACACAGAATCCTCGGTAGGGCAGTTGCGGTGCACTCTTGGCTCCAACAGCACCAGTGCCTTTGTACTCCAAGGAGCATAGCCCAACACCTAGCCCAACACCTAGCACCTAGCCCAACACTAGACAAGGAAGTAGGCCCCTAGACAGAACATACCCTTCTAGGGACCTAGTCCAATTTATTGGGATCCACTAAACTCGGAGGGACTGGTCCGGAGGTAGGGTCGCTCCCTAGGAAGAAATCCACATTTCCTTATTAGCAATCTCTCCAGCAACATAACATTTCTTCTCAGCTTAGATGATCTGCTTCCTTGCCTGAAAGTGTTGCACTACAAAACCCCTACCCCCTAGCTAGTTAAACAGAATGATCCAAAGGCTTTTATCACTCAAACAAGAGATTCTATTAGAGACCTGTGTAGCCGAGGAGGGCAGGCTGACCCTCACACTGCATTTATGTTCTACCTAGGTTATTTTTATATGATCTTAACCCCTTAAGGACCAAACTTCTGGAATAAAAGAGAATCATGACATGTCACACATGTCATGTGTCCTTAAGGGGTTAAAGGACCACTATAGTGCCAGGAAAACATAATCGTTTTCCTGGCACTGTAGTGCCCTGAGGGTGCCCCCACCCTCAGGGTCCCCCTCCCGCCCGGCTCTGGAAGGGGGAAAGGGGGAAAAACTTACCTTTTTCCAGCGCTGGGCGGGGAGCTCTCCTCCTCCGATCCTCCTCCGTTCCTCCCCATCGGCTGAATGCGCACGCGCGGCAAGAGCTGCGCGCGCATTCAGCCGGTCGCATAGGAAAGCATTTACAATGCTTTCCTATGGACGCTGTTGTGCTCTCACAGTGAAAATTGTCAGGGTATTTATATCGGCAGACATCTTGTGCTATGATAGAAATTAAAAGTGTATATTCTGAGTCACTCTGAACAGAGCAGACTCCATTTTGTTATTTTCAAGC